TATATATATATATATAAATCCTGCTAATTAACTTTTAATGAACTTTAGTTCACCATTAAATCTCTGATGAACCAGATTCTATAAAAACATCTATAGTTAAAATTTTATATGTTTTCCTCATCATTTGATGTATTTGCATACATTATGTCTACTTTTATTGTTCAGTTTAAATGTGTGGTTTTGTTTCTTGTATACAGATTTTTTTTAATTCAACCTTTATTTAAACAGATAAGTCACGTTGAGCCTTGAAGACTCATTTATAAGTGAGACCTGTTTGAACAGACAATAAAAGTGGTGAAAAATGACACGTAGGGTTTAAAGACAAAAAAAAAATCCTAACACGCTTTTAACCTCTGGTTGAAGGTCAACAGCGTGATAATGAAATAAATCTCACACATGAGCACATAATGACACCGTCATTACACGGGGGGGCACAAGGGCAGTGAGCAGTCAGAGACAACACACAGAGGCACTGCAGAGTTCAGATAAAATCGCTCAGTTCAAATAGTTCCTCTGGGGAGATCCGTGCACACTTGGGGGGTGTCGAGGACAACCAGAGACGAATCCAGAGTCCTGAAATGATGACAGAATGTTTATTCAGCTGGGCTTCTCTGAAAAGTCCATGGAAACTCCTCAGTAGGAGAGGGAGGGAGGGGGCTGAGCCTCAGGTTTACAAAACTTCCAGGCGGGTTGAGATAAGAAGTCCTGTCAAGGCCAGTCAGGGAGCTGAATTCAGATAAACACACAGTTGTTTTGGGGACAGGCAGAACTTTAATGACATGTACCTTGAGTCTGTGTCGGTCCACTTGCTTCCGAAACATCCAAATTAAATATCCATACCAATGGAACGTGCCTGAGAATAATACCCGAGATCTGATCCATTCTGCCAAGAGTCTGGGTGCTCAAGGCACGAACCAAGCCATCATATAAGGCAAGCAGCCTGACCAGGCCCAGATTTGCTGCCGACGACTTCTTGTTTTTTGATAGACCAGGAACCAGCCGAATCCAAAAAGCAGGAACCAGTTATCATAAATCCAAATTATAAATGTGTCCTTAAAATCCACAGATGACAGCAGAGATAGACACGTCATCAAGTCTTCAAAGTTGATGAGATATCCAGCTGTGTGCGTGCCAACAGGGCAAATCAGCTCTCCTAAAGCCTGTCTTCTCTTCAAATAAATGTTATCAGTTGTGTTGAGGGACCAACTGATCAAATCCAAGTCCATAGTTATGATTCAGAAGGTTTGTAGAAGAGAGGCTCTAAAGCAGTTTTACAGACAGACAAAGCAAAAGCAAAGCGGAGAGGGAGAGGAGGAGACGTCCGCCCTTGACAAGAGCAAGTGTTGAATTTTAGCTTTGCTTTAAACTTTAATTCTTGTTTTGTGATTTGTACATCTGTGGGTTAGAATAACGTTGAACTAACTAAAAGCTGTCTCTCTTTTATTAAACATATTTGTGAAACATATTCCTGAGAGAGCCAATAATTTTGTGTCAATTTATTATTCTTTAGTTGAGTTAACTTTAACAGATTTATTTAATAGTCATTAAAGTGAAAACAGGATTTCACGATAAAGCCAGCACCTTTAATTTATTTTTTAAATTGTCACTGATTTAAAAAAACAAAACACAAACATTATTTTTTTTTATACATAAAATGTTTTTAAAAATCGTTTCCACCCTCCGCCCCAGACCTGTCCCATTCCGCCCCTGTCTTCCGGGATTCAGTGGCTCTGGGTCCGGTCTCGTGCGCATCTTTGTGTTGGTAGCTCGTATGATCCTCCGCAGTGACTAGCTCGCTCTGAATGTTGTCGTCGGTCATGTTACAGCCCCGTAGGTCTCTGCCCTTTATTCTTGCAGGGTTTTGGAGACAGGTCTTCTGCAAGTGTTGCTAGTTGGCCTGATTGCTGCTACTGCTTTAAAGCTGCCATGTGTGCAGAAGTAAAGAGTACTTTCAGGAGGATTAATCCTCACAAAGCAACCGGCCCAGACAACATCCCCCGGAAGGAGCTGAAAGAATGTGCCGATCAGCTCTGTGAGGTGCTGGCAGACATCTTTAACACCTCACTTACACTGGCAACAGTTCCCACCTGCCTGAAGACCACCACCATCATCCCAGTCCCAAAAAGCTCTACAGTGACTGGTCTGAATGACTATCGGCCAGTGGCCCTCACCCCGATAGTCACTAAATGCTTTGAAAAACTGGTCATGACTCACATCAAAACAACCATCAACATCAACGAGGACCCTCATCAGTATGCATACCGTGAGAACCGATCAACAGAGGATACCATCTCCTCTGTGGTCCACACTGCACTCACCCACCTGGAGTAGAAGGAATCCTACGTCCGTATGCTCTTTGTGGACTTCACATCTGCCTTCAACACCATGATCCCCCAAACCCTGATGGACAAACTACTCACACTAGGACTAAGCCCCTCCATTTGCAACTGGGTCCTAGACTTATTAACAAACAGACCACAGTCAGTGAGGATCCACAACTTCTCCTTCTCCACCATAACCCTCAGCACTGGCTCCCCTCAGGGATGTGTGTTGAGCCCCCTCTTGTTCACTCTGCTCACGTATGATTGTGCAGCTACCCATCCAGGCTGTCACATTGTAAAGTTTGCAGATGATACAGTGGTGGTGGGATGCATCACAAACAATGATGAGTCCAGCTACAGGCAAGAGGTGGAACACCTGGAGAGCTGGTGCAAAGAGAATAACCTTCACATCAATGTGAAGAAGACAGAGATGGTTGAGGAATTCAGATGGATCAAACACATCTACACCCCCCTGAACATAAGAGGATCTGCGGTGGAAGTGGTCTCCAGCTACAAGTACTTGGGTGTGCACCTGAACAACAACCTCAGCTGGAGCACCAACACCACCAGCCTGATGAAGAAAGCTCATCAGAGACTCTACTTCTTCAGGCGGCTGAGACGAGCTGGTCTGGAAGCTCAGTCCTCACCTCCTTCTACAGGTGTGCAGTGGAGACCATCCTGTGCTCCAGCATCAACGTGTGGCATGGAGGCTGCACAGCTGCAGAAAGAAAAGCTTTGCAGAGAGTGGTGAAGGCTGCACAGAAGATGTTGGAATCAGTCTCCCCACCATCACAGACACCTACACCTCCAGATGCAGGAAGAGGGCCACCTGCATCATGAAGGACCACACTCACCCAGCACACACACTTTTTGCCCCGCTCCCCTCAGGAAGGAGGTTGAGGAGCATTAAGTGTAGAACCACTAGAGTGAGGAACAGCTTCTACCCTGAGGCTGTTAGACTCATGAATCTATAACCAGAATAATCACTGTGAAAAATCACTGTAATGCCACTTGATTGTTGATGTGTGCTGCTGACTATCCATGATGCTGATCTCATGCTGCTGATTATTTCATGTTGCTTTGTTCATTCGTCCTCATCTGCTCACACAGACTCATGTTCATGTTGCTGTTGTTTTGCACTTAGTGCTTAGTGTATTCTTAGTTTAGTATATTTCTTAGTTCATATTTTAGATCTTATGTTTTTTTTTAATAATTTCTATTTTTGTTGGATGTAACTGGGACCCTGTGTAAACAATTTTATTCCACCTCATGTACCACATGTGATGTGAATGACAATAAAGAACCTTGAATCAATGAATCCTTGAATGGATGGATGGATGTTTGGTTGGATGGATGGATAGATGGATAGGTGGAAGGACAGACAGATGGATGGACAGATGGATGGATAGATGGAAGGATGGATTGATGGATCCATCAGGAGATTTTCATCTAAAAGTTATTCTCTGCAGAGTTCAGCTGGGGTTCAGATAAATGTTGTCTCAGACTGCTGGTTCGGTTGGATCAGCGTGAGGTCTCAAAGTTTGGCCTTACGTGATCACTTCTTTCTTGCTGTCCTTGCAGGTGGGGTATTTGATGCGTTTGGGGCTTGGCATGGTCACCTTAGCTGGGTAACACGGCTCATCCAGCAACTCCTGGAACAGAGTTACGTTGTCTTTCTGCTGCAGGAATGACAAATAAGGAAAGAAGACCATGTCAGATAATTGGAGATGAGAACTAAGTCTGTCTTTCTTCATAAAATGTTTTAGTGTCTGAGCCTCAGCTGTAGATGTTGAGCCGAATCACATCAAAAACATTAACAGCTGGGGTTTTCCTGAGCAGTGATGGACTCAACTGGACTTAAACCTTAGGATCCATCCTCTTCACAGTCTACATAGGTAATGTAGGTCAGATCATCCCTGATGAATCCTTACATTTCTATGCTGATGACACAGTTGTTTATTGTCGAGATAAAACGGTTGATAAGGTTTTCCAGCTTTTGCAATCCACATTTGACATCATCCAGACAGATTTGTTCCGTCTCAAACTTGTCTTAAATGCAGATAAAACTAAAGGGATGTTTTTTTTCAAACAGGAAGTCAATCCCAGCTGTTCTTCATTCGATTTTATCCTCAAATGGTGTCCCTATAGAGTTTGTCGATTCCTACAAATATTTGGGTACCTTGGTCGACTCGCGTCTTTCTTTGAAACTCCATGTGGAAAACCCAGTAAAGAAACTGAAAGTTAAACTGGGTTTCTTTTTCAGAAACAGATCCTGTCTAACTCTGAATGTTAGGAAACACCTTGTATCTGTGACTTCCCTCCATTGATTACGTGACATCATTTACATGAACGCTCCTACAAGAACCCTGCAGATGTTGGATGCTGCAGATGTTGGATGCTGCAGATTTTGGATGCTGCAGATGTTGGATGCTGTCTATCATGGTGCACTAAGATTCATAACTGGCTGTAACTACCGTACCCACCACTGCACCCAGTATCCACTGGTTAACTGGTCACCATTAACTTCACACAGACTCTCTCACTGGTACATCTTCATCTTTAAATCACTTCCTGGTCTGCTGCCTTCATACATCTCCTCCTACATGTCTCTGTGTGAGTGCAGCTACAGCGTGCGCTCTCAGGACATCATTACCTGCAGTGTTCCCTCAGTGAGGACTGAACTAGACAAAAGGACCTTCTCCTACTCCGCTCCTGTTTCCTGGAATATCTTGTAAAAAGATCTGAAGCTCTCGACCTTTGACCTCTCTAAGTGTCTTCAAACATTTGCTAAGTTCATGGGAGAAACCAACACAAACATGTTCCTGTTCTTAGTTTCTACATCACTTTATAATGTAGCTGTTTTTGTTTCATTTTTTAATATAATTTTCTTTCATTTATTTGTCTCAATTTATATGCTTTTTTTTATAAATGTCTATTATTGTCATCATTCTTTGTTAAAATCTCTCTTGTAAATGAGTCTTTGAGACTAAATGAGACTAACCTGTAAAAATAAAGGTTGAATGGACCTGTTTACTTTCCCTGGACAAATTTATAGCATCTTGTCTTGTTACTGTTGACTATAACCTATGTATAAGTTTTTTTAATTAAAACAGGACATTTTGAAGTATAGCCCCATAATTGTACAATCAATTTCCTCCAGTTCAGGAAGAAACACATGTTACCTCCTTGAGTTCCTGCTCTTCCTCCAGCTGTTTGATCTTGGTGTAGTTGTTGGGCAGGTCCCAGCAGTCAGTATCACTCAGTTGGTAGCACTGGCTGCTGAGCAGAGCCTGACGTCTAGGTGACATTGGCTGCAGGGGGGTCAGCACTGTTTCACTTCCCTCTGGACCACTGGGTTCACCTGCTACATCAATTGAATCAACATCATCTGGATCTCCAGCTGGATTCTGATGGGACAGACAGAGAAGGTTTATGAATACATTTCAATCCTTTTTGGACATTTTTAAATATGAGCTGAAGTTCAGAGGGAATTCCACAAGGCTGGATTCCTGGCTCACTCTGTACATGATGATACATAAATGAACCTTTGCTGAACTCCTCAGAGTCTTTTACTGACCTGTGTCAGCAGGTTGTAGGGTTTCCCTCCCAGAGTGTTTGGCAACTCTCTGCACCTCGTCGACAAGTTGAGGATGGCTGTTGCTGCCATGTGGGCAGCCTCCATGTCATGGGTGTAGTCGAAGCTGCTTTTGCTGCAGGTGCTGCTGGCACTGCTTCCTCCTACAGCACCTCCTCCCTCTCCTCTTCCACAGCTCAGGCTGCTGCTACTTGGAGCATAGCTGCTAGTCGTGCTGCTGGTAGGGCTCGATATCTTACAGTAACGCTTCACTGCAGCAATTAACAGAGACCAAAAGCTTAGTGTTAGAGAAACTCTAAGAACTGACATTTAACTAAATAGTTCTAACAATGTCTGTATTGGTTTCCAGCCATCAGCATGATAGTAGTTTAAATGAACAAAAGAAGAATAAAAATGAAGCCAAAGATCCAGAACTACAACTTCCATGGATGCCAATTTTCCTTACCGTCAAATCCCTTTGGGGAGGTGTCACGCCCATGGTGGAGCTTGGTTGTTGAGCCCCTCTTTCCATAGCCACCTGCATGGCCATCATAGCTGGTGTAGTCATAGCTGCTCTTTGAGTATTTTTCCAGTTCCTTGGTCAGATTGGATCGAGGTGTGCTGGTGGGAACGTTGTTTTTGTGACCATACTGAGGAATTTCCAACTGCTTGACAAAACACATTGGCCTGAAAGGCAACCAGCATCAAGGAGTTACCAGTCAGCATCGCTGAAGTCAGAACCAGGACTTTCTGGTACTATCAGCATCCCTCATGTCAGTGTCAGTACAGTGAAACAAGATAATACTGAAGACAAGGCATTAAAGTTGCTAAGGTAGTCTTCAAGAACAGCGTAAAAAATCATTTAGCACACAGTAACTCACAGCAGGTAAAAAAAATCATGAAAACAGCTTCAAAGCATCTCCCAACAGCAATGCCTCCCCAGCAGAAATGTCACATCATTTGTTTGCACATTTTCAGGTGAAAAGGTCCCTTCAAATACGCAACTACTCTCAGGCTCTAATTCCAAAGTGCTCACCTTGCAGGAAACCCAAGGAAAGCAGATCATTTGGACTATAAGCAAGTCTGCCAAAATTTTCCTTGAAAAAAATTACCCACCAATTACTTGAATGATCATAGGTCGATTGTTCTTACATCAGTAGCGACAAATGTTTTGAAAAACTCATTGCCCAGCCTCCCACCCACCTTTGATTCATTCCAGTTTGCTTACAGAGCCAATCCATAGATGCCATTACCACCATCCTTCACATTGCACAAAGCCCTGTTCAATGTCCTGTGATGCATGTCAGGATTTTGGTTTTGGTTAATCATCATCATCTTTATTAAAGACACAATTAGGTTCATTTTAAAAAAACACAAAATGCAAATAGATAATATAAAAAGATAAAACAATAAAAATAAAAAAATCACAAATGTAAGTCACAGATTTACAAAAAGGCTGAAACGCCAGTGGATCCACATTCTGGACATAAACCTGCCTGAGCTTTGTGCAACATCCATTACTGTCAGGATGACGTTGTTTGTAGGATCATGTAATCTCCACAAAAATCTGTACAAGGTTACGTAACACAGCATACAAAGTGGAGACACTAAAAAATAAGTGACTTGCACTAGTCCACCTCAGCATCCTCATCCCGTCAATACGTGCCACTTTGAGTTTCTGAATGCTGCTTTGCTTGTATCGTCTCCACAAGTGGACAATATACAAAGAAGTGCAGTGTGCTTTAAAAAGAGCCACTTTCACTGAGACAGAACACATCCTGAACTTGTGTACAAGCATGTTGGCTTGTGCATACATTAAACGATGTAGTCTGTAAATGTCCATGTCATCAGCCAGACCATCAGTTACATAATGTCCCAGGTATTTAACAGCAGCACACACTTTAAGAACAGCACCAGATAAAGAAAAGTCAGGAAGTACCAACTTCTGATCCTCCCTGCTTCTTATGATCATGATCTTATTTCAGTGCATTGTAGATAATGTCATACTGCTGACCATGTTGTGAGCAGGTCCTCAATAATTCCAAAAAAGTTCAATCTGGTCCTCTGGACATTCAAAAAAAACAAAAAACAAAACAAAGCAAAAAAATGTAGAAACGTTTCCTGATGCATGCTCAATAATCCAGGTAGAAAAATCCAAAAAAGTTCAATCTGGTCCTCTGGACATTCAAAAAAACAAAAAACAAAACAAAGCAAATCAACAAAAAAATATAGAAACGTTTCGTCTCTCATCCAAGAGACTTCCTCAGTCTGAGGTGCTGTATTCAGCTCAGTCTCTTAAATAGCACCTTCTCAGAGTGGATCAACCAGTTTGCTGCTGACAACCAGAACCAGCTGATCACATGCTCAAGAAGGACCATCAGCCTAACAATGGATCATTAGCACCTGATGGCTGTTTACTGTTCACAGAGGGCTGAGTGATACTAGCAATCACAGCATTGTAAGAGGGGGACAGTTGAACCCGGAGGCTCCGCCCCTGTTTAATGATGGACGATTTCTTTTCACAAAGATGGCCTCCTTTACTCCTCTCTCAAACCATTGTTCCTCTCTGTCCAGGATGTGAACATCTTCATCCCTGAAAGAGTGACCTCTGACCTGGAGATGAGTGTAGACCTCAGAGTCCTGGCCTGATGATGTTGATCTTCTGTGCTGGGCCATCCTTTTGGCCAGTGGCTGTTTAGTTTCCCCGATGTAAGACTGATCACCCTCCTGACACTGAACAACATACACAACATTACTCTGTTTGTGCCGGGGGACTGGCTCTTTGGGATGAACCAGTCTTTAATGTATTTTGGGGTTTAAAAGCCACTGGGACGTTATGTTTAGAAAATAAACGTCTCAGTTTCTCTGATACTCCCTCAACATCTGGAATGACCACTGGTCTGGGTCTGGGTTCCTCCTTTTCCCCTGATGGCTGACTTGAGTCCTGTTTGGTTTTCTTCTCTGCTTTCAGGAAGGCCCAGTTAGGATATCCACATTGCTCTAGAGCCTGTCTTGTGTGGGATTTCTCCTTCCTCCTGGCTCCTGAGCTAGTGGGGACGCTGTCTGCTCTGTGGTACAGAGTCCTGATGACTCCTAACTTGTGCTCCAAAGGGTGATGGGAGTCAAACTGCAAATACTGGTCTGTGTGGGTGGGTTTGCGGTACACCTCAGTTTGCAAAAGTCCTCTATCAGAGACTGAGACCTCACAGTCCAAGAAAGCCAACCTTCCATTTTTACATCTTCTCGTGTGAACTTGATGTATTTATCCACAGAGTTGATGTGGTCAGTAAAATGTTGGACTTCCTGAGATTTGATTTTAACCCAGGTGTCGTCAACATACCTGAACCAATGACTTGGTGGTGTCCCTGAAAAGGACGTCAAGGCTCTCTTTTCTACCTCCTCCATGTACAGGTTGGCAACAATAGGAGAAACTGGAGACCCCATAGCACACCCATGTTTCTGCCTATAATATTGCTCCCCATATGTGAAGTAGGTTGACTGCAGGCACAGTTTCAAGAGTTGACCCAGTTGTTCTGTGGAAAGCGTGGTCCTGCTGCTCAGAGTGGTGTCTGATTTTAATTTTAAACTGACCACCTCTACTGCATCATCAACAGGAATGCACGTAAAGAGTGATGTGACATCAAAAGAGACCATTGTTTCATCAGTCTCCATGATGACATCCCTCACCTTATCCACAAAGTCCATGGTGTTCTGTATGTGGTGTTCTGAGCTGCCAACTAAAGGGATGAGTACAGACGCCAGATATTTGGAAACATTGTAAGTGACAGAGTTAATCATGCTAACAATAGGTCTTAAAGGTACACCTTGTTTGTGGATTTTAGGTAAACCATACAGACTAGGTGTGGCCTCCCCTGGGTACAGTCTGTGGTACAGAATACGGTCAATAGCCTTGTCCTG